CCTTTTTTTCCTGGTGTCCTGAATCGGAGGCATCCTGTGTTATGCTTACTGCATTTCAGTACATGGAGCTCCCTTTCTCAAGCAGTGCCGAGGCCAGGGATGTGATGTCGTGGGGCCGGACCAAAGATAGAGCAGCGCGCGAACTGAGTCAGCTCTGAGAACAGGAATCCTTTTCCCCATCGCCTGGGCCGAGCCGCTGGCCTTTCGTGGTACCCCCCGTAGCACAGCTGCAAGTGTTTTCAGTCCCACGTCCCCTTTTGCAGCTGGTTATACGGCTGTGTTCCTGTATGCTTCTATGGTATGGATAATAAAAGAGGTAACACTTCCTACCACAGCCCTGGTAACCTCTGCACCAACCCAAGAGACAAGGAAGAAATGGAGAACGGTTGTACATGTTCTCCTCCGCTCACGTGTCTTCTCCCTTGCCTCCTGCTTTCCCGGCTCCTCCACAAGCTCACCACATCCCAGACACGCAGGTGACCCCATTTGAGACTCACTGCCTTATTGCAGCGGCACAGCCCTGCCCTTGCAAAAAGACGGCAGCTCCTGAACCATGCACGGCAGCACCTGTCTCTCCCCGGAGTATCTTTGCAGGTCTTCCCTGCACGCATTGCCCCAGCTTATTTGCCAACTCTAACAGGATCGCACCCGCAGCCCTTCCTCTGAAGGAGAGGCAAGCGTGCAGAAGGCACCCGATTATACTGTCATCCCATCCTCCCCGACCAGAGAAAACAGCTTCGTTAAAACCCTCGACTGCGCAGCTCCAGGCTGCCTAAATAAAACGAATAAAAGAAAAAACCAGTGGCAGGAAGGAGCAGGATTTTGACTCCGGACAAATCACCGGCCCCATGGCTCCTTTGCTCCGGCGACGCTTGCTCGTATCGGCTTTGCTTTATGACGCAGACATTTTGCCCTCTGGTTCCAGGGCAATCAATCAGCGGAGGGCACTGCACGGGAAGGCGGCTGCCTTATGATCCCGGCTTTATAGGGCCTGTCCCGCACCCTGGATGCCTCGCCGACGCGCTGAGGTCACCGGGACGTCGCCTCCTTTTTCCTCCCGAACTCGGCTGCAGGCTGCGGTGCGCGGCGAGCCGATGAATGCTGCGCTCCTCCACATCCTGTCTGAGCGCTGCAGCCTCCGGAGTTCAAAGCGCTGCTGCCTCCCCACCCCCCTCGGAGCTGGATTACTCAATTAGAGATTATGCTTTTGCCAGTCACCTCCTAGCCAACTGGGACCATGGCCAAGGTCAACACAAGTTCCAGCCAGTTTCATTAATAACTGCGAGTCCAGCCCACTGGAAACTCTGAGAGGTTAATCCCAGCAACAGATGAACATTCCCATTGCAAAGCCATGCAGCAAACCACAGAGCAGGAGCATTAGTGATAATTTACTGCCCGAGCCTTCCAAGTAGCTGCGCTTGCAAGTGCAGGGAACCATCCAGGCCTGCCCTGCTTATGCCCTCTGCAGGGCAAGCCTCAACCAGCGCTCCCAAAATTATCCTCACCCGAATCCTTGGCCAGCACCATAGCGCGGGCGTGAGGTCACCGGGTTTAAGGTCTGAACTGACAGCTGGGCCTGTGGGAGTTGCTAACCTTGCGTTGATCCACCCACCGCCTTTCTAACCCAACAGCTGCCTTTCAAAGTGGAAGGGAAAGATTTGCTGGGGGGAAGCCTGCCTCGGAGGGGCGCTGCCAAGGCACTGGGCAGTGAAGGAAAAAAGTGAACAGAAAAAAAACCAAGCAAAAAACTAGAAAACAGGACTACTGAATGCCGTAAAGCAGCCGTTTTCAACCCGCGGTCTGCAAACCCCTGGCGGGGCTGCAAGCTCTCCCTAAGGGGTCCAGAAAAGATAAGTATGATTGATCAAAAGTATGGGAATACCCACATTCACAATTCAAAGGGGTCCTCATCTCCATCTGGGATTTCCAAAGGGGTCTGCAAATGAACAAAGGTTGAAAACCCCTGCCTCAAAGTTACCTTCAATGCCCTGCAGAGCAGCAGAGAAGGCAACTAGATAACTGGCTATTAGAAACCCTTTCCACTATAAACCCCGTTTTCCAGGAGTTCACTGTTCAGCACAAAACTTGACAAGCTGGTCACCTCAATACATCCTTAACAATTTTCCTCTGATGCATCCACTGATTTTAAGTGAAGCTTTTTAAACTTGCATTCACACCCACGCGTGCACACATGCATGCACGCACAAAAAACAACCCGGGGGCACTGAACCCTTTAGTTCTTCCATACGCATTTCTTAGCCCCAGTGCAAGCTCTAGCAATGGTCCCTCTTCTCATATTCCCAATCTGGTACATCACAGCCATGTGAAGACAAATGATAAAAACTCTCTGACAACAGCGGCGAGTCCAAGAATACCTAGCTTTTCAATGCAAAGTCTTTCTTCTGCACAGCTGGCAAATGCACAACACTGGAGACTTCTGGCTTCTGACATGAAACACAGAGGGAAGAAAGTCGCTAAAGATAAGCCTGAAAGAACTGAGAGGTACGAGGAAGAGGTGCAAAAACCAATGCATTGCTAAAAGAGCAGCGTGACAGTCAGGGCCAAGTGCCTGCAAGGACAGTGCTAAATGGGAATTAGAGACGGGCGAAGGACAGAGGCACGGGGTGCTGTTTCACAAGGTTACGCCTCTCCGCGGGAAAGCTGACAGGAGCCCAAGGGGATGACATTCCTAGCTGCTTGCAAGGAAGTCACTGGCAGCTCAGGGAGAGAAGACTCACAGGGCAGTCGTGGAAAGGTACTCGTGTCACACCCGGGGGCACAGAGCCCGTACACTCCTGATGTTTCGCTTCGGAGCAAGTGTCAGTGTGATATTCCCAAAGAGCAAAGAAATCCTGCCAAACACTTCTGCATTAGAATGGGATCATCTGCCCACAGATCCGTCACGGAGGCACCGTCCCTGCCAGAGTTCAAGGACAGAGGAGGCCGAACACTCGAGAGCACAATTTGTTCCTATTATGCCACGGTAAGTTTGAAGCAACTCCATTAACACGCAGCACTTATTTCAAATTTAGATTTGCCCTGTCAGCACCACGTGCTGAATTCAGTCTTCACTGCTTTAGCATAAAGAACAGCCTTGTCCTGAAAGTCTAAGCAAAGCCAGGAGATCCCTGCTGATCTAGTCAATGAGGCTAGAAGGGTAAAGCAGTATATCTTTGGGGAGCAAGACATCTAGCACATCCTTGGAAGTTGTCTACAATGTCCCTGAAGCCCTCCTCTCCTGTCCACTTCAACAGGAATGAGGATACTCTGCCCTTTGCCACAAGGGGCTAACAGCCAGCACTAGCTCCACTTCTTGAGCACCCCAGAAAGGACATTTTCCTAAAAGACATCAAGCTGCCCTAATGTTGCTTCTGGTTTAAGACACCAACTCTCTTCCTCTGTCCAGACCCCAAGACTTCAAACAGCTGCAGGAACACCGTGATCTGCAACACAAACGCTTTTAACAAAACTGCACACTTTTTTTAAAGAGGAGGCAAGAGCTCTGCCTCGATTCCAGATTTTGCTCATTATTAGAAACCAGCAGCTGCGAGGGTACATGGTTTTCTGGTGAGACACAGACCAAAAATGTTGGCTGAGGTTATGCGGAGAAAGAAAATGTTGTCCAAGAAATGGGCAGAAGCTTGGAAAAAGGGCTCCCTCCTTTGCAACTCATCACCACGGGGTTTGCATCTCTCGTCACCCACCGCGAGATGCCTCACCCAGCAGTCAAAGGAACATATTCTTCTTCACTGAACAGCTGCTTCCAAGCACGGCTCCATCCCAACAGCGCTGAAAGAAAACGCGTGGGTGGCAATGCTATTGCCTGGTCACGGCTGCTTTGTGGAGCAGCAAACGAGCAGGGCTGGTGCACGCAAGAGGCCAAGCTGCCCAGATCTTATGTCAAGGAAGAATTCTGTCAAAGAGCAGAGGGGACAGGTCTGTGTTGTGTTGAGTGTCACAAGCCCATCATGCAGGGTTGGCCATTAAGGTTGCGCTGGCTCTATTCTTTCCCAGTGGGTTGCATTGCTCATGCAAAGACCCGGACCCTCAGAAAATCTCCCACCCCGGTTATCAGCCTTCAGTAGGGAATCTTGTCTCTTCCCGGTGGGATGTCAGCCCGAGCGCCTCCTTTTTCCCCCTAGCTTTGCACCCCACGAGTCAAACATCTCCTCACTCAGGCCAACTTGACAGGCCTCCCTTTGAAGCCCACCAATGCCACTCCAATTCGGAGGATCGTGATAACTCAGCCTTGCTGAGCAAGAGGACGCCCACGTCTCGTTGCTTTTAGAGGCAATGTAGACTCAGCAACCCATCCTGCGTGCAGCCGTACCCATCTCCCAGGGGCTTGCAAGAGTGCTGGGCGGAACGCAGAACAGATGCAAATAAATACGGGCTGGCTGAATCAGGGGATTTTTTTGAGATCGTATTTACTTCATCAGAAGACACGGCAGTTTCCAAGTTACTCTGCTGGAGGAGGGTTAAGAGGAGGCAGGCTTTGCTGTGTCAGACCCGAAAGAGCAGCTCTTTCCACTATTCAATGCACGAACTTACTCACCTTGGTCGAGATGATTTGGAAACGTTCAAAGAAAGGGAAGTGCAACTGTACTGAGGGCAATAAGCCTGCTGACTGACCAACAAACGTTTCAAACGCTTCAAAGAAACAGCTGGGAGCAAATTAAAATTTCAGCAAAATAAAAAGCAAGCGGTACCTCACTCGGAGGCGTGCAACTTCCCCGTTCCAGCTGACAGCAATGGGAACGTCACGTGGCTTTAGTCACGAATGTCTGGTAGCCCAGCGAGTGCATACTTGTTACACTAGAAAACCTCTCCTTACAACAGCTTAGCCAGATCACTGCCACGTCGACTAGCGTCTGGCAGAGTTAAAGACCTCTACGTGCCCCACAGACATCCCGTAGAAGGTATACAGTGCAAGCGCTCCACCTAGTGCGCACACAGCCCCTGGGTAGCATCCTAAGGATGCATGCAGCTCTTCCCTTTACCTTTGAGAGATCCTCTGTCCCTCCTTGTTGGTTTTGGTTGACGAGAGGCGAGTGCCGCATCAGCGGGTCTTGCAACAAGTCTAGTCGTGGTCTTTTTGTTTCAATGTACTCTATATCTGACTGCTTGCTCAGGTCAGAGAGGTAGGAATGGGCCTCCGTCCGCAGGTGCAATTCCTGAGACCTGGGGAGAAAGAAAGAGAGGCAATTTTAGAGCCAAAAGAAAACACAAGGCTCCCGGCACTTCTAAAAACTGAAAAAGGCTAAAGTGGTAGAAACCATTGCAGGAAGGCACAGTCCTCGATACGATTTACAGTTCACATCATCCACATGAGTCATAAGACAACTTCACACCCTTCATGCAGGTAACAAGCCACGTCTCTCAGTAGGTCAACTTTAACACGTACTTTCTGGTGCGTTCGAGAGGTGCAGCACCCAGCACAGACGGAGACCGCCCAGGCTGTTTCTGCTCAAAAGTAGAACATGATGCTACCAAAGCAGGCTTTTGTGAAAGGAGACTGAAATGGTAGGAATGAAGGACGCGGAGTCCCGGGGCCAGGAACCGCGCGGCACAGACAAGCAACGGTATAATATTGTGGCACACGTAATTGCGGTTAAAAGCTTTCCTTGTACCAATGAGGAAAACCCCAAATATTGCCACCGATGTCGCGTGCTCGCTGAACTGAACGGCCTGATCAGGTCCTGGGTCTTACAGAGATGAAGTGCAGGCCCTGCTCTTGTTAACCAGCAGCAAATCCACAGGCTTAAGTGCAGCGAGTTCATCTCCCAGCTCAGGAAACGCTATCTTGCATAATACCCTGCGTCAAAATCAGCCGGTCTGCCTGCCCCCTCAATTGGTCATCTGCAAAATGAACGTATCGACACTTCCCTACCTCGCTGGAATCTGCGTGACCATGCACGAGGGCCTCCGATATAGGGGCGAGGGAGCATGCACACCGCGGTCAGCGGCCCCTGGTTGTTGCTTAATCTTAATCAGAAACACGGGGAACATCCCTTCTTCCCTGCAGCCTTTACGTGGGAACAGCCATGCTATTCAAGTGGCATCCTTAACAGCCTCCGCTCTCCAGCGTGCTGGGGTCACAAATGACCAGCCAGCCAAGTTCAAATAGCTCCAATTCCATTTACCATGCTTGATTTATTAATTAAGAACTACCTTAGGCACTCTCTCACATATGGGAAAAAAAAAAGAAGTATATTCCACTGTTGCCAGATCATTTTTTTAGATGTATTTTTTCGTCTTTCTTTTTTTCTTAACAGATTTCAAAGCATTTTCCCAGCCTTTTTTCTCCCCCCTATCAAAACTCTCCGGCGGAAATTGCAAAGGGATGCTACAAAAACAATCTTATGTCCAGGGATCGACTTTGCAACAGGAGCAGAGAATGGGGACATGATATTTTTAACGTGTCAGAGAGACGTGCAGTTTTATCACAAAATTGACAGATCCAGGGCTTGGGAAATGCCTTTTTCTAACACGATCGCTCGAGACATGAAGCCACTGAACAGGCAGTGAGGCAGCGGGGGCAGGGATGGTGGGCGAGTCTGGAGCACACGTGGCATGGGCCCAGGTCCGAGCGGGCTAGACCCCCGCACACAAATATAATCTACTCTATCTGCATCGGTCTTTGCTATCCCCTCACCAAAGTCCACTGAAGTCAACGCAGGTCTTTCCAATGACTTTCGACCAGGCTGAGCGAGATTAGAGAGGAGGTGTCACGAAAACAGCCCCACGCAGGCAACGTGATCTTTAACGTGATCTGCTCTGAACATTAACACCCACAGGTTTCTAAGCTAGACACACTCAGTTCACAGATTGGGTTTCCCCCCCCCACCCCGGTTACCTTCCAGCCCTGCAAACTCCAATTCCAAGAACGAAGCCGGGGGCTTTCTTTGTTGGGCGCTAGCACAAGTCACACGAGTTGCTGCAGACCGCACCGCTCTAGACGGTAACCCCGGTGCCGGCCATAAAGTTGGCCCAGGGACCATTCATGCGAACTTGGAAAACCGACCGGTGGCTTATAGCCAAAAAGGAAAAGCATGTGGTTTGTGCACTCTCGTTCTCTCTCTCCGAGGCAGATCAGTCCTAAACTGAAGAGCGCTCGTCTTCAAGACTCAAGTAGCCAACAAAATCTGCAAAGGAGAAGGAGAAAGCACCGTCTACACTGCCACCTTTCAGAGCAGGGCAAGGACAGCTCCTTCCTTTGACGCCGAAGCCCTTCCCAGGCAAACAACGGGAGGATTCAGAGCTGTTCCTCTAGCAAGCCCTGAAATAACCTGCAGCACCGCTCAAGTTTCCTGTTGGGTTTCCCCAATAGCAGCGCCCATGCAAATCCAGCCTGCCCACAGCTGCACTTCAGCATTTCACGCTCCCTCGTCAAACCGAATTATGATGAGCAACTGTTGAGCAGGGAGGGCGTTCGAATAACCCAACGCCCTCTGGTGCAGAGAGGTCATTAAAAAAAAAAAAATAATAATAATAATAATAATCACATTCTGATTTTTTTAATGGCTATATTACCAAGAAGCTCCTAATTGCAAGGGGACTGGCCTGAAGCCTTAGGAGCTGATAAAAAGCAGCGCAAACCAGAACTCAGCCTTGTTCCTTACGTTAAGAAAATATATTAAAAAAAATATATATACAATTTTAAAACCAGAGTTTCCAACAGTGATTCAGGGCCATTCGGGGCCAAGCAGCTCTTACATTATAGGGTGCTATTTTATTTCCATTTCCACATCCGTGGGAATGCCTATTAAGTTCATCCTTGGGAATTTCCAACGGCCCCTGAGAGGACTTGATGCAATACAATCCAGGCAGCCCTCCTTAGCTGGAAATCAAATGAAAAACCTTCACACCCTGCTCTCTTCACATCCACACCTGCAGCGAGATCTTGACAACGCACTTGTCTGCAGCCCTAACGTTGCTACCAGAATTCAAATAACTCTGGCGAGAAAAATGTTTTGCAGCCCTCTGTTTCAGCCAGCGTCGCCTTATCGCCAAAGAGCCCCCACCTGCATGCTTCGTGCCAAAAATGTCTTTTTTTTTGCCAAAAGGAAAGAGCGCTTCGAATTTTGCATGCAATTATGCTCCAGTCCCCGAACTGAAATAAATACCGGTGGTTAATCAGGAACGAGGGTAAATTATTGCTCGCCTGTAACCCTTCTGCAAACAGACAGAAAAACCAGCAGTACGAAACGTGCCAAGGGGCTAGGTTAGGCAAAGCCGCAACGTTGATGCTCATCCCTTAAGGTCACTCGAGCCATCTACGGTTCATTCCCGAGTGAGGAGTGGTAGGTCTGAGCTGAGTCCAGCACAGGACTCTAGATTAGACCCACGCTTCGTTGCATGCGAGTGATTCTGCATGTCTGCAAAACCACACTGCCAATTAATTCATCAAGGGGATTTATTTTTCAGGCTCAGGCTCAAGATGATGATTAGGATATGCGCCACCACAATTTCATGCTAAGTACTAAGCATTTGCAGCTCCCGTTGCAATCCAAACAGGTAACAAGAGTGTTTCCCTCTTGCAGATACTACTTTCTGGCACCCTCGTGGCCGTTCAAAACCTGCATCCTTTGCAGAAGGCCAGAAAGGCTGGTCTGAAAGGTTTAAGCGGGTTCTGTTGAGTCATGGAGGGAAGCGTCTCATTCGTGGTGGTTCATTAGCTGGATATAAAGGGAGAGGAAAGAGCCTTTCCCTAGGGCAGTGATTTACACCCCCTTTTTTTTTCCATTTGTGGACCCCGTTGGAAATTTTGAATGGAGGGGCAGACACCTTTGCTTGGTAAGTGCGAGTATTTGCATACTTTTGACTGACTGTAGTCATTTTTTGCGGGCCCCTTAGACATATAGTCTGGGGACCCCCAAGGGCCCGTGGAGCACAGGTTGCAAAGCACTGCCCCAAGGAGACAGGATCTTGGGTGTGGGCTGAGCAGCCTCGAGACGAACACAGGGACTAGCCAAGGATGAAGAAGATCATGACATAATGTCCTCGTTTACTTCGTTAGCCAAGCCAAGCCCCATCCCCAGAAAGGGGGCACAGATGTAGAAAGGTGGAAAAGAAAGGAAAAATAAAGCTACTGCCTTAACTACAACCACCCTGAATGTCACCCAGAAGGGCACAACTTGGCTCTAGAAAATCAACTTCACCCTTGGCCTTCTTCAAGCGCCCCCGCTTGCCAACACCAGGCAAGGGTGGTCTGGGGCCAAGAGCTCCAGTGCGAGCACATGCCTTAAGGACTGTTTTCACCACTTTCCTGGCCATATCGAAGGCTGCAAAACACACGGCTCCGGCTCCCGGTCTGTCGTCTGCTCGGTCTTTATGAAAAAGCGTTACGGGGCACCCTCGAGCAACAGCGGTGCGAATTCCAACGTACAGCCCAGCCTCGATTATCCAGAATAATTAGTGTCGCCATCACGACAGAGAACCAATTTTTTCCAGATAATTAAACACCGCAGGATGAAGTGCTAAAAACAATACTTTAATTAGTGTACGAGACAGCAAATATGAAAAGACCACAAGAAATAAATGCATGGCACGGTGCAGTGTTTTAAAAATCTCAAGGCACTAGTAAAAAAAACCCCATGTAGTTGTCTCAATGGCAAGCAAAACCCAACTGCGGGCCAACTGTTTTGTTAATACAAACCCTTGCACATAGTCAACTCTCTACTGTATCTCCTACTTTAAAGGACCCTGAAGACAAGCAGCACAAGTGGAGCATGGAGAACACCAGCAGCCCGGACTGCTTTCCTAAGGCTGTTAGGGGGATAATGTTAATTTACAGCAAACACATAGCCCCGGTACGGTGGGAAAAGCATCCTTTTCAGTGACACGGGAGTGAGCACTGTGCAAAAGTGCCCGCTGGCAGCACAATAACGAATGACGACTGTATAAAGGATGCCTCATTTCCAAAGCAGGTAATGTTTTGAACCTGTTAACCTCAGCAGTTTCTCTTTTAACGGTACATCTGAAAATCATATCAGACGCATGCTCCCAGTCAGCGAGGCTTTCTGCAGAAGAGAGCTGGAGTGGTTTAAAATGACAACTGCAGCGCACTTATCCCTGACCCAGGTTTCTCCCAGAATCACGATCTCCGCCCTCTACCCCCAAAGAGCTGGAGCCGGGGTGTGTGTTGGGGCAAAATCCTGATTGCACCAAAGTCAACGGTG